GCAGTGATTTATAGATGACCTGGAGCCAGTGGGTTTGGCGACGAATATGTAGTGAGGGCCAGCCAACAAGAGCGTACAGGTCACAATGGTAGGTAGTATATGGGGCTTTGGTGACAAAACGGATGGCACTGTGAAAGACTACATCCAATTTGCTGAGTAGGGTGTTGGGGGCTATTTTGTAAATGACATCGCCGAAGTCAAGGATCGGTAGGATAGTCAGTTTTACGAGGGCATGTTTGGCAGCATGAGTGAAGGAGGCTTTGTTGTGAAATAGGAAGCCGATTCTAGATCTAACTTTTGATTGGAGATGCTTAATGTGAGTCTGGAAGGAGAGTTTACAGTCTAACCAGACACCTAGGTATTTGTAGTTGTCCACCGAGAGTAGTGATTCTAGTCGGGTGGGCGGGTGTAAGCAGCGTTCGGTTGAAGTGCATGCATTTAGTTTTACTAGTGTTTAAGAGCAGTTGGAGGCTACGGAAGGAGTGTTGTATGGCATTTTTTAAGCTCGTTTGGAGGTTTGTTAACACAGTGTCCAATGAAGGGCCAGATGTATACAAAATGGTGTCGTCCGCATAGAGGTGGATCCGAGCGTCACCAGCAGCAAGAGCGACATCATTGATTGATTGAGTTTAAAGATGCACTAAACAGAAATCTCTCCGCCATTTCCTGGTTGCTAAAATTCTAATAGTTCGCCTAATTTCAGTTTGTGACAAAACAAGCAAGTATAGTGTAGAGAATCATTGAACCATCTAAACCGCTGTGAAATATATTTTCCATAACCAAAAATATTGTATTTTCAGCTGTTTGAAGCTGGTGTACAAAACAGAAAGTAAAAGACGCAAAAACGAAACTTAAAAACGGGAAGCATAGAAATAGCGCACATAGAACAGACCTACCGCTTCTTAGACTTGCTTTCAATGCGGATGACAGATCTATAACTCACAATTCTATGTGAAATTTGTCTGGTAGCCCAAAAAATTACATATTGCAGCTTTAAATTCAGAATAATGATACTGACCTTGGCCTTTGATGTATTGGAAGGTATCTAGAAATAACAAAATGGGTCATTATCATGCTCTTTTTACCATTATGAAAAATAAGAAAACATGAGAGGGGAACACTTTACACAAGTTGGAGAAGCAGAATAGCCTGTAATGCATTCACGGCCATGTTATCAAGCAGTGGTCCTCCTTAGCTGAACAAAATGTAAAATAATGACAGAGAAAAATGTATAAATTGGATGATCAATGGAATAAGACACTTATTATAACCATAAAATGTATAAATATCAAGAGTTCCTAAAGTAAAAGACTAAAAGAAGGGAAAGAAGAAGAAGAAGAGGAATAACCTGTAGCACAAACAGATGATGGAATTTGGAATGGAGGAAAAACTCACCGAAAAGGAGGATGACCAAAAACAGATGACCAGCCATATCAGGGATGAAGAATGCCATTTTTTAGAGAGCTACATACATACTGTTAGTCTGACTTCACATAATATGGTGGCTGTGACTGGGACATAGAATAAATGTTTCAATAGAGAAGTAGATGTGGAGCTTGTTCACAGGAAAACCACAGATGTCTCATATGGCAAGTGTGGGCTAATGTTGCAGAGGACAGGGGGGCTGAACATTCAGAATCATTTATAATGATAATAATAATATGCCATTTAGCAGACGCTTTTATCCAAAGCGACTTACAGTCATGCGTGCATACATTTTTTGTGTATGGGTGGTCCCGGGGATCGAACCCACTACCTTGGCATTACAAGCGCGTGCTCTACCAGCTGGGCTACAGAGAACCACATCAGTCATTAAAGCTATGTCTTTAACAGATATTATTTTGTATCATTATTGGCGTCAATTTGATTTTTAAAACCAACAGACTAACATGTCTGTCTGAGTAAAATATGTATCTTTGACCTTTTGTTTTAAGTTTTTAATAGCTGCACAAAGTTTAATTACAAAAACCCTGCATTTGTGGTTGAGAGATTTATGATCACCCTATAGTCTGCCCACTTGTATGGGATTATTGTTATTGAGCTACACCCATTGCAATGGAGGGCATTTAACATTGCTCATTCAATTACTTGTATGGGTATCTCACTTCTCATGGTGTCCATGATTGCATGCGTAGGCATGTCTATATACATTGCTAACTCTTGTCTCTTGGAGCTGAGAAGAAAAAGCAGAAGGAGAAACCTTCAGAGGCAGGTATGGTTTCAGTTATGTTCTGACTATTGGCATTGTTCAAGTGGTTTTGGTGTATAGGGAATTTTTTTAATACTTGTCATAATGGATACTGTTCCCTATTTGGGCTTTATGGTTAAAATGAACCTAAAATGTTCAATGGGTGATTGTCTGGCAAACCTGTCATTTATCTATCAGGATGCAGAACTCAGGAAGGCCGCAAAAGCATCTGCTTCCAATGTGTCCCCTGCTAAGAAGCCCAGGTCAAAGAGGCCTGCAGAGGACAAAGAGGCAGAGGGAGAGCTGAGGATCAACCCAAAGCACAGAAGACTACCAAAGCTGCAAAGGGTGAAGGAGCAGCCAAGAAGGGTGCAAAGGCCAAAGCTTCCCAGAAGCCTGCAGAGGGTGATGAAGGGGACAATGCTGCTCCTGAAGCTAAAACCACAGGGAAACGAGGCAAGAGGGCAGCAGCAGAGTGACTGCACTCCTTTTATCCAAATGTTGGTTTTAAAGATTCATTTTGTATGTTTTTGAATAAAGCAGTTTGTTTTTTGAAGTTCTTGTTTGTGGTATTAAGTGTAGACCTGGCTGCTGTAAAATGTAATTGTGCAGTCTCCACTTTTCCTGTAGAAAAGCGTTGATGGTAGCTAGGGGTTTGTGAAGATGTTTAATGATTCACTGATGCTTTTTTAAAAAGTTGTTTCTTATACCTGCTTAATGAGTACCCTCTTCTGCCAGGTTACTTGTATCACTAGGACAGTGACTCCCCTGTTCCTGGAATACATTGATGGCAAAGGTGTTTTCTATACAGTCAGGACTTTGTTGTTCGTCCATCATAGGTTGATGACCATGACACGATTCATTGGGATAATCTGGTACAGTGAGTGTAAATATGGCAGAGAACCAATCAGAGCCCGGCACACTGGACATGACATCTTGGTACCAGTCTCCTGAGGGACAGTTTATACTGGTCTTTTGCTGTTCTCTTCACCATGGCATTTTTGGTCCTGCTGGTTTGTGGTAGCAGCAGTCTTTCTGTACAGTTAGAACTAACCATCTCAAACTAACATTTCCCAAAGCTATGAAGCCATGGGAAATTATTAAACTATTCTGTTATGGGTCAGTGCCCACAATGGTGCAATGGAACATGTTGTACCACTTCAGTTTGAATACCAAATTAGTTCTTGCACCACCTTGTGGACACAGTTTGATATTCCTGATCAAAGGTACCCAAAACAGAGCATTGCGGTCCGGTGGTGCTCCTGGTTCTTTATTCCCTGGAGGTTTAACCAGCTTCTACTCAACCACCCCTAAGGAGAATAATAAATCATTAATGCTGTGGACCTCAAGGCCTGGATTTGAAAAAGGATACACAGGAAGATGCGAAGCAAGGTTTTACTCTGCCCAGAATCTGTCCACGACGTGAGGAATTTGTATGGGGGTCAATGAGTCAAATTTGGTCAACAAATAATTGCCAATTTGCTACATGGGACTTATTTTGATTGATTTTTTGTTGTTGTAATTGTTAGGTTATGCAGAGTGACGCACGAGGCATTTCTGCAACTGACAACTACATATTGGAGTTGTGTCTGTTGTGATACTTATGGACATTGCCATGGAGGGCTTCCACTATTTTAACGTAGTCAACCGGGTGGGAATTCCTGAGTTGGGAGAAATCTGCCATTGAAGAAAATGGAATACTTTAACATGGAGAGCATAGGCAACGCCATTGAAGCTGTCACAGATACAGATTAGTTCTATATCTGTATCTGCCCTCTCATTGGTTAGAATGGTCCCGCCTGCCTTCCATCTTTGAGGACATTGTTAGAGCGGTCACTCGACTAGCTTGACAATACAGGTAATATTTGCTACACAACAAAAACATGAGGTTGAAATAGAAACTGGGTGATGTTGACTCAATGACAAGTCAATCCTTCATTTTTAAAACAGCATTTTTATTTGTTTTAAAAAATAAAAAGTTAATTTAATTGTCACTAATAAACAGTACGGAAGCACTGAAAGTCTGAGCAGTTTCACAGCTCTTCAAGTATGTTCATTCAGTTTAGTCTCTGCAGGGGCAGGGCCAAGAGTGCAGGGCTTCAAGCTGAGCATATTCCGACTCAGTGTCCTGATCCAATCAGGCCCAACGTCGCGTCCAATAGAAACAAGTCAAGAACCCATCACTTGCTTGATCCAGTGATGAACAAATTAGATGTTGTCCTCAGTAGTGCACTGTAGTTAGTCACATCAATCCTCCCAGAAAGAAGAGCGATTTGGTGAAATGGGCAAAGAGAGGGGCAGAGGAAGAGAAACAAAGGAAGATAACATATTGGGAGTAAGAAAAGGAAGGGAGAAAGGAGAGATTTTGGGGTTAGAGAAAAGGAGAGCGAAAAAAGGGAAAGACACTTGCCATGTGGATCATCAAAATGCCAGCTGTTTACCTTCCGTATCCAGCCACAAGAGAAAGCCCTCAAGATCTGCATTAATGACTGCAATAACATGAAGAAACAAATTCAATACCACTTGAATCAATTCTAAAGCAATAAAACATATTCCACATGTAAACAATTTCACTGTTTGAAGAGAGAGAGAAATAAAAGTGTGCAGTTCTCCTGGCTCCTCATCCTCCTCCTTTCCGCTAAGCCCGCCCATTGTGCTGGCGCCACCACAGTTACATCAGAGGCAGTGTACGAGTTTGTTAGTTAGTCCCCTCCCCTCACACCAGGCCCCGCCTCTCCGTCCCTCATTGTTCCGGGAGCCCCACCCCTAGGTCGCCTCCCCTCGTCATTTATTAAGAGAGCCCCCCCGTAGGTCAACTCGGGGACAGCAGGAAGCGATCCAGGTACTGCGAGATGACCTCCCAGTTCCTCCACAGGAAGGCGAGGAGGACGACGAAGAGCAGTGTGGAGAAGGTGCGGCTGCGCGTCTTCATCAGGGGCACCACGCAGTTGGCCACGGTGGAGACGAACACCAGGAGCACGGCCATGACGGCTAGCAGCACGTTGATGAGCTTGCCCAGCAGGGTCCGGGCCGTGGCGTTCTCTAGGCCCTCTAGCTGGACCACCTGCTGCTGTTGCTGCTGCAGCTCCATCTTGGAGATACGTGTCTGGCACACCTCCAGAGCCTCCTACATGGGGGGGGGGGGGGACATGGTTAAACAGTTTGGAACGTCACCAACTCGCTTCAGCACAAAACACAGCTAGACCCTATCGTAGAACATATTTAATATATATATATATATACACATACACATACAGTGAGGGAAAAAAGTATTTGATCCCCTGCTGATTTTGTACGTTTGCCCACTGACAAAGAAATGATCAGTCTATAATTTTAAATGGTAGGTTTATTTGAACAGTGAGAGACAGAATAACAAAAAAAAAATCCAGAAAAACGCATGTCAAAAATGTTATCAATTGATTTGCATTTTAATGAGGGAAATAAGTATTTGACCCCTCTGCAAAACATGACTTAGTACTTGGTGGCAAAACCCTTGTTGGCAATGACAGAGGTCAGACGTTTCTTGTAGTTGGCCACCAGGTTTGCACACATCTCAGGAGGGATTTTGTTCCACTCCTCTTTGCTGATATTCTCCAAGTCATTAAGGTTTCGAGGCTGATGTTTGGCAACTCGAACTTTCAGCTCCCTCCACAGATTTTCTATGGGATTAAGGTCTGGAGACTGGCTAGGCCACTTCAGGACCTTAATGTGCTTCTTCTTGAGCCACTCCTTTGTTGCCCAGGCCGAGGGAGATTGACAGTTATTTTGTGTTACTTCCATTTGCGAATAATCGCACCAACTGTTGTCACCTTCTCACCAAGCTGCTTGGCGATGGTCTTGTAGCCCATTCCAACCTTGTGTAGGTCTACAATCTTGTCCCTGACATCCTTGGAGAGCTCTTTGGTCTTGGCCATGGTGGAGAGTTTGGAATCTGATTGATTGCTTCTGTGGACAGGTGTCTTTTATACAGGTAACAAGCTGAGATTAGGAGCACTCCCTTTAAGAGTGTGCTCCTAATCTCAGCTCGTTACCTGTATAAAAGACACCTGGGAGCCAGAAATCTTCTGATTGAGAGGGGGTCAAATACTTATTTCCCTCATTAAAATGCAAATCAATATATAACATTTTGACATGCGTTTTTCTGGATTTTTTTGTTGTTATTCTGTCTCTCACTGTTCAAATAAACCTACCATTAAAATTATAGACTGATCATTTATTTGTCAGTGGGCAAACGTACAAAATCAGCAGGGGATCAAATACATTTTTCCCTCACTGTATATGTATGTATGTATGCATGCATGCATGCATGCATGTATGTATGTATGTATGTATGTATGTATGTATGTATGTATGTATGTATATTTTAAATATACCTACACACATATTTTAAATATACCTACACACACACAGTTGAAGTTGGAAGTTTACATACACCTTAGCCAAATACATTTAAACTCAGTTTCACATTTCCTGACATTTAATCCTAGTAAATATTCCCTGTCTTAGGTCAGTTAGGATCACCACTTTATTTTAAGAATGTGAAATGTCAGAATAATAATTTATTTCAGCTTTTATTTCTTTCATCACATTCCCAGTGGGTCAGAAGTTTACACACACTCAATTAGTATTTGGTAGAATTGCCTTTAAAATTGTTTAACTTGGGTCAAATGTATCGGGTAGTCTTCCACAAGCTTCCCACAATAAGTTGGGTGAATTTTGGCCCATTCCACCTGACATAGCTAGTGTAACGCAGTCAGGTTTGTAGGCCTCCTTGCTCGCACACGCTTTTTCAGTTCTTCCCACAAATTTTCTATAGGATTGAGGTCAGTGCTTTGTGTTGGCCACTCCAATACCTTGACTTTGTTGTCCTTAAGCCATTTTGCTACAACTTTGGAAGTATGCTTGGAATTTGGAAGACCCATTTGCGACCAAGCTTCAACTTCCTGACTGATGTCTTGAGATGTTGCTTCAATATATCCACATAATTTTCCTTCCTCATGATGCCATCTATTTTGCGAAGTGCACCAGTCCCTCCTGCAGCAAAGCACCCCCACAGCATGATGCTGCCACCCCCGTGCTTCACGGTTGGGATGGTGTTCTTCGGCTTGCAAGGAACCCCCTCTTTCCTCCAAACATAACGATGGTCATTTTGGCCAAACAGTTCTATTTTTGTTTCATCAGACCAGAGGACGTTTCTCCAAAAAGTACGATATTTGTCCCCATGTGCAGTTGCAAACCCTAGTCTGGCTTTTTCATGGCGGTTTTAGAGCAGTGGCTTCTTCCTTGCTGAGCGGCCTTTCTGGTTATGTCGATATAGGACTCGTTTTACTGTGGATAAAGATAATTTTGTACCGGTTTCCTCCAGCATCTTCACAAGGTCCTTTGCTGTTGTTCTGGGATTGATTTGCAATTTTCGCACCAAAGTACGTTTATCTCTAGGAGACAGAACGCATCTCCTTCCTGAGTGGTATGACGGCTGCGTGGTCCAATACTATTGTTTGTACAGATGAACGTGGTACCTTCAGGTGTTTGGAAATTGCTCCCAAGGATGAACCAGACTTGTGGAGGTCTACAATTTTTTTCTGAGGTCTTGGCTGATTTATTTTGATTTTCCCATGATGTCAAGCAAAGAGGCACTGAGTTTGAAGGTAGGCCTTGAAGTACATCCACAGGTACACCTCCAATTGACTCAAATTATGTAAATTAGCCTATCAGAAGCTTCTAAAGCCATCACATCATTTTCTGGAATTTTCCAAGCTGTTTAAAGGCACAGTCAACTTAGTGTATGTAAACTTCTTTCCCACTGGAATTGTGATACAGTGAATTATAACTGAAATAATCTGTAAACAATTGTTGGAAAAATTACTTGTGTCATGCACAAAGTAGATGTCCTAACCGACTTGCCAAAACTATAGTTTGTTAAAAAGAAATTTGTGGAGTGGTTGAAAAACAAGTTTTAATGACTCCAACCTAAGTGTCAACAGTGAAGAGGCAACTCCAGGATGCTGACCTACGCAGAGTTGCAAATGAAAAAGCCATATCTCAGACTGGCCAATAAAAAAAAAGACAGGACAGTCTGAGATATGGCTTTTTCTTTGCAACTCTGCCTAGAAGGTCAGCATCCCAGAGTCTCTGCTTCACTGTTGACGTTGAGACTGGTGTTTTGCGGGTACTATTTAATGAAGCTGCCAGTTGAGGACCTGTGAGGCGTATTTCTCAAAAACTAGACTAATGTATTTGTCCTCTTGCTCAGTTGTGCACCGGGGCCTCCAACTCCTCTATCTGTTCTGGTTAGAGCAAGTTTGTGCTGTTCTGTGAAGGGAGTAGTACACAGCGTTGTACGGGATCTTCAGTTTCTTGGCAATTTCCTGCATGGAATAGCCTTCATTTCTCAGAACAAGAATAGACTGACGAGTTTCAGAACAAAGTTATTTGTTTCTGGCCATTTTGAGCCTGTAATCGAACCCACAATCGCTGATGCTTCAGACACTCAACTAGTCTCAAGAAGGCCAGTTTTATAGCTTCTTTAAATCAGCACAACAGTTTTCAGCTGTGCTAACATAATTTAAAAAGGGTTTTCTAATGATCAATTAGCCTTTTAAAATGATAAACTTGGATTAGCAAACACAACGTGCCATTGGAACACAAGACTGATGGTTGCTGATAATGGGCCTCTGTATGCCTATGTAGATATTCCATTAAAAAAAAAAAATCAGCCGTTACCAGCTACAATAGCCTTTTAGAAATATAACAATGTCTACACTGTATTTCTGATCAATTTGATGATATTTTAAAAATGGACAAAAAAAATTGCTTTTCTTTCAAAAACAAGGACATTTCTAAGTGACCCCAAACTTTTGAACGGTAGTATACATATACGTGTATGTACACACACACACAAGTTTACTGGAGATTCATCGGTAGGCCCTTTGCTCCACCAGGACCTAAAAGGGATAAGGTAAGAATAACCCTATTTTCAAGAGCTGACAGAACCTACCTGAATGTCTCTAGCTCTCTCGTAAGACTGATAGGCGATCTTTTCCTCCATGCTGGCCAGCTCCTGCTTCAGGTTCAGGATCTCATTCTGGTGCAGCTCTGTTAAGTCATTGAGCTGCTCCTCCAAACGCTCACACCTGAACACGCACACACACACACACACACACACACACACAAGGTACCAATCAAACACTCCCTTTCATGAAGGTAGTGGAAATGTTTGCTGGAGCTGAGTGATAAGAGTTATTTTGAAGTGAGAAAATATACCTTTATTCTAAATTTAGTAACAAGGGGTTTTTTGCATCTCTTCACAACTTGAGTAACTGCTGAGTTCAGTGAGTATGTACTGTGCCTTCAGAAAGTATTCATACCCCTTGACTTATTCCACATTGTTGTGTTACAGCCTGAATTCAAAATGGAATAAATTTATTTATTTTCTTCACACAATACTCCATAATGGCATAGTGAAAACATGTTTAGAGTTTCTTGCAAATATATTGAAAATGAAATATCTCCATTTACATAAGTATTCACACCCTGACTCAACACGTTAGAATCTCCTTTGGCAGCGTTTACATATTTCTGGGTAAGTCTCTTAAGAGCTTTGCACACTTGCATTGTACAATTTTTCCCCATTATTATTTTAAAAATTCTTCAAGCTCTGTCAAATTGGTTGTTGATCATTGCAAGACAACCATTTTCAAGTTTTGCCATAGATTTTCAAATCAGATTTAAGTCCAAACTGTAAGGAACATTCACTGTCTTCTTGGTAAGCAACTCCACTGTAGATTTGGCCTTGTGTTTTAGGTTATTGTCCTGCTGAAAGGTGAATTAATCTCCCAGTGTCTGGTGGAAAGCAGACTGAGCCAGGTTTTCCTCTAGGATTTTGCCTGTGCTTAGCTCCATTCAGTTTATTTTTTATCCTGAAAAACTCCCCAGTCCTTATCGATTACAAGCATAACCATAACATGATGCAGCCACCACTATGCATGAAAATATGGAGAGTGGTACTTAGTAAAGGGAAAGGAAAGGGGGATACCTAGTCAGTTGTACAACTGAATGCATTCAACTGAAATGTTTCTTCTGCATTTAACCCAACCCCCCTCAATAAGTTGTTGTATTGGACTTGACCAAACATAACACTTCGGATTCAGGACAAGTTGTAAACAGGATGCATGTTTTGGAATATTCTTTATTCTGTACAGGCTTCTGAATCAAGTGCACCTACAGCCAACAGAGCAAGACTTGGCATATTATTAAATAATTAATGTGCAAATCTGTCATCAAGGCAAAGGGTGGCTATTTGAAGAATCTCAAATATAAGATATATTTTGATTTGTTTAACACTCTTTTGGTTCCTACATGATTCCATGTGTTATTTCATAGTTCTGATGTCTTCACTATTCTACAATGTAAAAAAATAGTACAAATAAAGTAGGTGTCCAAACCTTTGACTGGTACTGTATGTATGTATGTATGTATGTATATGAGCACAAGGTTTTATCATTTTTCTATTTACATTTTAGTCATTTAGCAGACGCTCTTATCCAGAGCAACTTACAGCAGCAATTAGAGTGAAGTGCCTTGCTCAAGGGCACACCGACAGATGTTTCACCTAGTCGGCTCGGGGATTCGAACCAGCAACCTTTCAGTTACTGGCCTTACCCTCTTAACCACTAGCCTTTTCTACTGAAATGTTTGGTGATCAACTAGAAATGCCTTGAAGATCGACCAGTCGATCGACCGGTTGGTAACCGAGTGGTACACAAGGAGGGAGTCTGAGCCAGAGTCAGGACATGGCTCTTGATTGATTATACTGTTATGTACAGTGGGGGGAAAAAAAGTATTTAGTCAGCCACCAATTGTGCAAGTTCTCCCACTTAAAAAGATGAGAGAGGCCTGTAATTTTCATCATAGGTACACGTCAACTATGACAGACAAAATGAGAAAATAAATCCAGAAAATCACATTGTAGGATTTTTAATGAATTTATTTGCTAATTATGGTGGAAAATAAGTATTTGGTCAATAACAAAAGTTTCTCAATACTTTGTTATACAGTAATCCCTCGTTTATCGCGGGGGTTACGTTCCGAAAATGACCCGCGATAAGTGAAATCCGCGAAATAGAAAACTTTTTTTTTTTTACAATTAGCAACTATTACATGTATACAAATACAGTGACTCACGTGTAGGCCGTTTCGTCGACATTATGGGTTTAGAAGATGTTCGAAATTACAAGATAATTTGGCCAACTTAATGTAAATTTGCCAAGCTGTTTTATGTACGTACATAACTGCACGAGACGACAAAATGATAGCACAATTCGTAGCATGTTTTGATACAAGAAGCGGGAGTGAGTTTTTAGCGAATCAGAATGCAGAGCACAATGCACCAACAAAAAAAAAAAAATGCATTATGAAAATCCGCGAAATAGCGAATCCGCGATAAGTGAACCGCGAAGTGGCGAGGGATCACTGTATACCCTTTGTTGGCAATGACACAGGTCAAACATTTTCTGTAAGTCTTCACAAGGTTTTCACACACTGTTGCTGGTATTTTGGCCCATTCCTCCATGCAGATCTCCTCTAGAGCAGTGATGTTTTGGGGCTGTCGCTGGGCAACACGGACTTTCAACTCCCTCAAAAGATTTTCTATGGGGTTGAGATCTGGAGACTGGCTAGGCCACTCCAGGACCTTGAAATGCTTCTTACGAAGCCACTCCTTCGTTGCCCGGGCGGTGTGTTTGGGATCATTGTCATGCTGAAAGACCCAGCCAAGTTTCATCTTCAATGCCCTTGCTGATGGAAGGAGGTTTTCACTTAAAATCTCACGATACATGGCCCCATTCATTCTTTCCTTTACACGGATCAGTCGTCCTGGTCCCTTTGCAGAAAAACAGCCCCAAAGCATGATGTTTCCACCCCCATGCTTCACAGTAGGTATGGTGTTCTTTCGATGCAACTCCGCATTCTTTGTCCTCCAAACACGACGAGTTGAGTTTTTACCAAAAAGTTCTATTTTGGTTTCATCTGACCATATGACATTCTCCCAATCCTCTTCTGGATCATCCAAACGCACTCTAGCAAACTTCAGACGGGCCTGGACATGTACTGGCTTAAGCAGGGGGACACATCTGGCACTGCAGGATTTGAGTCCCTGGTGGCGTAGTGTGTTACTGATGGTAGGCTTTGTTACTTTGGTCCCAGCTCTCTGCAGGTCATTCACTAGGAACCCCCGGGTGGTTCTGGGATTTTTGCTCACCGTTCTTGTGATCATTTTGACCCCACGGGGTGAGATCTTGCGTGGAGCCCCAGATCGAGGGAGGTTATCAGTGGTCTTGTATGTCTTCCATTTCCTAATAATTGCTCCCACAGTTGATTTCTTCAAACCAAGCTGCTTACCTATTGCAGATTCAGTCTTCCCAGCCTGGTGCAGGTCTACAATTTTGTTTCTGGTGTCCTTTGACAGCTCTTTGGTCTTGGTCATAGTGGAGTTTGGAGTGTGACTGTTTGAGGTTGTGGACAGGTGTCTTTTATACTGATAAGAAGTTCAAACAGGTGCCATTAATACAGGTAACGAGTGGAGGACAGAGGAGCCTCTTAAAAAAGAAGTTACAGGTCTGTGAGAGCCAGAAATCTTGCTTGTTTGTAGGTGACCAAATACTTATTTTCCACCATAATTTGCAAATAAATTCATTAAAAATCCTACAATGTGATTTTCTGGAATTTTTTTTCTCCTCAATTTGTCTGTCATAGTTGACGTGTACCTATGATGAAAATTACAGGCCTCTCATCTTTTTAATTGGGAGAACTTGCACAATTGGTGGCTGACTAAATATTTTTTTTCCCCACTGTACTTATTTTTCACCATAACTTGCAAATAAATTCATAAAAAATCCTACAATGTGATTTTCTGGAGAAAAAAAATCTCAATTTGTCTGTCATAGTTGACGTGTACCTATGATGAAAATTACAGGCCTCTCTCATCTTTTTACGTGGGAGAACTTGCACAATTGGTGGCTGACTAAATACTTTTTTTCCCCACTGTATGAGGCAATGCATTAGGAACGTCTTAAATGTATATGGTTGAGAATAGGTTATGGACCTGCCATATTTAAACCATATTTAAGTATCGATTGATAGGTTTTGGAATAAACAGAGCAGAGTCAGGAGATGGCTCTTTTATTTTTTACATGAGAAAGCCTGGTTCTACCACTATTGTTTCCAAACTAGATAAATAGAAGGAGGAGACTGAATAGGGTCAGATTTCACCACTATCATAAATTAAGAGAGTGGGCGGAGCGGTCAAAAGATGGCCTGGAAACAATAGTGGAGAAACTGAACTGAGAGGGTTTAAGCTAAAAAGTATGTAAAACGAGCAGGAATGGAAATTGTATATAAACTGAGGGCCGAGTGTTGGGAGTTCAGATGTTTTGCAAACCACCTCGGCTCTATTGCGTATGTAATAAAGTCTATCTTAATTCTACAAAAACTCTGGAAGAACTTTGATTTTTAATAAGTATATTGATAATTTTCCATAACATAATTGGCACCCCAGATGGGCCTGGGAAAAGAGACCACAGGGGTGCTGCACCATCTGGAGGAGGTTGGACGAATCACACACAAAAATACAGTGGCCACTGTTAAGAGGTAAGCAACGTTCCTACTTTTAACATTGAAAGTGTGTGATTTGTTCAAGCTGATTCTGAAGGTCAGGTACCGTGGGGTCTCTCCAGTATTAAGGACTAAATTTAGGAAAAGTATAGAGTTTTTGTTGGCATGAGAAATAAGCATGCATGCAATGTTATGGATTGTTGAATATTGTCGGTAATTACAAATAAGTTAAATCCTGTGGATACCGCTTTGGAGAGCTAAGGTTAGCACTCCAGAGGGCTGAACGGGCCAGTGGCTAGCCAGTACATGAATAGGTGCCTACGGTTACCGCTCTAACGTGGAGTTCATTGTTAGAGGCTGCTCGAGTAGGTGTTGCATCATCCTGTGGTGGTGATGCAATAATTAGACAGGGCCAATCAGGTAAAGAAGTAGGTCATCCTGAGTAGGTGACACCATAAATTGGAAGTAGCGCCGGTCATCCAGAGTAGGTGAATGGTTGTGAAATAGCCACTAGGGCTTCAAAATATAAATAAAGTGTTAAATAGAGTAGGTCTGCTCACCTCGTGCGGGTGAATGGTTTGCTTGAGCGGCTGTGATTCATTCAATTGTATGTTTTATCCATCTCATTTAGGTTGCTCATTTGGTCAGCTTGATCAGTTTGTTTGATTCGATTGTTTTGTCTGACTCATTTTGTACAAGACTGGCTTGTTGGACTTGCTTGGGATTGCGAAAGTAGCTCTTTCATCTTGGTCCACTGGTCTGACTAGGTTTGTGCATTCAATCTGTCAAATTCACTCGATTGTTCATCTGATGTATTTGTTCAATTCGTCTGATTCATTCGTTCGTCCTGCTGGTCATTCTGTCTGATTCAGTTAAGCACGAGTGGCTGCTCATCTGTGCGGGTGATCAGAAAATAACAAGAAACCCTGAAAATAATAGCCTTTTCTGTGTTGAGGAAGTGTCAGGAAAGGGACTATATTTAAAGGTCGCTTGAAGCTTCTATGTCTGGTGGAGAAAGGGCGTGCCCAATCTTGCATTAGGAAGAGAATAATAAATGGTATGTGGATATTCATTGACCAACTGAGTGTGGAAAATTCACGTTACCAGGAGGGGTAGAATGAATCCTGTTGGAGGAACAGGTCATGTGTGGTTGTATAACGTCTACACATTGTATTTCGGCCAATCTTGTAGGATGTGTTTCGGACATTATATTTGGAAATTTAGAGGTGATGTAGGATTATGGTAAAATTGAACACAGTAAAATGATAAAATGAGATAGGGTTAACATTCTAAATTTGGGCCCTTTTATAGAATAAAATATTCCTGTAGGTTATACAAATAGTTATTGGTGGTTTGTGAATAGACTTTACAAATGCCATGTTTTAGCTCGCGGGTGAAAGAGAGTCGTACTCGCTGGACTGTATCGGGCTGTAAGGGACATTTGAAGCAGAGGTCATAATAGTTGAATCGGGAAACATTCTTTGACAAATTGTTATTACTCAATTCTATAGTTTGCGTAACACCAGTGACGTATGCAAATAGTTAATGAATTCTAAAACGATAATCTGTTTCCATTACATGGAACAGTGGATTGCAGGTAGTTTTGACTATTACACTAATGGGATAGCACCAACTTGTTGTAGGTTCTAGATTTATTAAACAACACATTTATATTTGACTAAATTAATGCAATAGGCTACAATGATAACATTATCAGAAAGAGGCTAAATCTAATGTGAAACAGCTATTACTTATGTCATTGACCAGTAAGGATACAGGAAATAGTAATAAAATAAATCTGGGTAGGAGAATTCAGGATAGGGATTAGCTGTCCATATATAAACAAGTAAACGAGAAAAACAGTAAGGAAGATATTGCTGACTCTACACCCTAATATAGACACTGAACCAAACCTAAGGCTAGCGTCAGGGAGACCAAGAATACAGGGAATAGAGACACCAGTAGAAATCATGAAAAGAAGGTTCCCAGAAAATAAAGAAGAGATTGGGAAAAATCTCTGATAAATAAGAACTAGAAAACTAGCAACAAAATGGCCTTAGGGATGTTTGATGTGACAGTGTGTGAGGACATGGATACCCTAATAAAGAACTATAAAACAGGAGAAAGAGGATCACATTTAGACAGACTGTTATGAGGGACTGAGGGGTATGTTAAGAAAACTGGAAAATTATGGGATAGATGAACAAGATGGTGATGGACAGAGCGAGTGGGATGATGCAAGTAATGAGGAAGATGAGGAACTAAAACAGTGTGCTGACTCTGAGCAAGAACAGAGTGAGACAGAAAGACAATTATCACAGCAAGGAGTCACAGGAGGCAAATCTATAGTAACAGAACTAGGTGAAGCACTGCAAGCCCACCTGGAAAAATCTAAGAGAGAATTAAGAAACAGAAGAACATAAAAAAGCCAGACAAGTATGGAGCCCAGTATCCCATTTTGGTAAAGGGGACAAAGGTTCACTATGTGCCTTGGGGATCACGGGACCTGGAAGGCCTGGTGACTAGACTGCCAAACATGCATGAAGGAGCAGGAAACTGGATTAGAACATTTGAAGAAAAAACAATGGGGAAGCTACTGGCAGTGGGAGATTTGAAGGCATTGCTGGCTAGGGTGGTGGGAGTGGCCAAAATGGAGGACCTGTAGGCTGGTGGCCTCATACAGGACGTTACTGGATGGAGTGGCCTTTGACAATTATAGGACTATGGCACACTGAGAATGGAGTATCAAGAAAAATACACCCTAAAGCACTGAGAGGGGAACCATTGGGGGATAAAGAAAGCCCTGCACGCTACCTAGAGGATCAGCTCAAGAGGTGGCGACAAGAAACAGAAAAAGACCCAGAGGGGGATCCACTGATGACAACACTATTCAGGACATCACTGATGGAGGCAATGCCAACGCCTGTCAGAAGCAGACTGGAAGATGTGGTGGGACTAACGTCAAAATCACACAAGGAATTCTGCGACCATATTATCCACGCAATGGAGAAATACAGGAGGGATGACCCCAGTGATTACTCCAGCACTGCCAGAAGAGGGCGCCATGGCACCTGTTCTCCAAGGAGGTCCACAACTACAGCCTCAACCACAAGGCCAAATAGCTCCTGCCTTACCAATAGTGAATGTGTACACACACAATAATCCCCTGGACAGTGGCAAAACAAAGGAAATAGAAACAGACCCCAGAATCAAGGGCACCGATCACAACAGCAGACATACCAAAATGGTGGACCAGGAGGACCGCTAGGTGTCTGCTGGGGGTGTCATCAATCAGGACATCTAAGAAGGAATTGTCCTACCAACCCATTGCTGCCTAAGCAACCACAGCAGGGTAATTGGCAAATAAATAACACCAGCTCAGATGCATGGCGGCAGTTCAGACACAGGCTCCACAGGGCCCAGTGAACCCGTGGGGAGGACCAAATCAGGGATACTAGGGATGCCCAGAGAATCCTAGAGGGGAGGGTCTGCTAGTGGCAGTAACTATGCAGGCTGATGAAGAACCTATGCTGCAGGTTCAGGTGAAGAATAGAGGCACACCCATGATGATAGATACTGGAGAAACTTACTCATGTGTAAGTCCAAATTATGCCTCTCACCTCCCCATGTCAGGCAAATATGTAAAGACAGTAGGATGTACGGGACAAACGCAGCTAATGCCTATGACAGTTCCAGTAAAAATAGAAGCAGGAGAAAAAGCTACCTGCATCATACCTATATTAGTATCAGAACAAACTCCAGTTAATCTATTAGGGAGAGATGCACTGTGTCGAATGGGCATCCAAATTAAATGCACATCAGAGGGACTAATAATAGGAAGGTGTACGCCCACAGATGATGGCTACAGACAAAAACAACAAATGTTTACTGGATAGGGAACATAGAATCACCAATATAAGAGTTATTAAAGAAGTGGGGGAAATGTATCAGGGCTCAAATTACAGAAATGAGTACCAAAATTAGGCTATCATTATACACTGCAATATGATCCATTTCAAAATCATTTGCTAGAACAACTATGGTTAAGGAAGGCATGGGCTAATTATATACACAGAAAACAGAGAATTCATTCATTTTCCAGTCTGTTGACAAAAACCTCATTAAAGTCCTATGCTTTGCAGAACTGATGGGGGAACAACAGGAAGTGGAAATAACTGAGGAAAGGCCAGTTTTGAACCAGTTGTTAAAAAAGAAACAAAACAAGAAAAGCTAAGGAAACAAATGAAAAGTGTGATTACAGAAGACTTGATACAGATGTGGGTTGGGTAAAATCAGCTAATCCAATTTGCATTAAAGTAAAGGCAGACACGAGACCCCCATGGAAACAGCAATACCCAATGACACCGGAAGCAGAGGCAGGAATTCAAGCTACAATAGAGGGACTGATAAAAGCAGGAGTACTGGTTAAAACCCAGAGTGACTGGAACCAGTACTAAAATCAAACAAACAGCAGTGAATGAAGTAGTTTAAGACCGCCAAGCACAGGTGTCCAATCCACACACACTTAACAAACATTCCACCAGATGCAAAGTGGTTCTCAGTAATAGACTTATGTGGAGCATTTTTTAGTGTACCTTTAGCATAAGAAAGTAGACACTTGTTTGCATTTACTTACAAAGGACAGCAATTTATATAAACAAGGAATTAGATTGAAACAAACGATTACTCATTTGATGGAGTACAGTGGAATTATCTTCATGTTTTGATTGTATTAAAACATTTGGGGGGCTGATTAAGATGTACTATAGTGAATGTTAACGAAATGTACACTTTCTTTTCCAGGAGAATGGGAGTTTCATTATGTCTCTTTGGAATGTTTCCCCGAGTCTGTGATCTGAGGAGAGCAGTTAGTAAAACTTAGCAATCTTATAATTAGGCCATAAAAGGGAGCTACCAAATTAAATAAGGCCTAGCCATTTGTTTGTTTTTGCCCTACGTTTCACCACACACACAACCCACCTATTATGAATATTTGGTAGTTGTGTAGGGTTTTTATTTTTGGTTTAGTGGATTTTTCACAGGTTAGAAATAATACACCTTAAAGGGCACATAAATTACATTTTCGGAAGTTTCTATTGCCAGAGTTTTGATTACACACGTAAATTATCCTGATAAGAAATGTACTGAAAAATCCCAATGTAAACTTGGTACACAAAATGTTTGAAATATTGTTAAATAATATCTGAGGTAAAGGGGAAGAAAAGGGAAAGAGACATTCACTTAAAATGGTGTTGAATGACCTCTGCTCTGACTTTCTGGTGAGGCCTGATCACCATCACTAGAAAGCTAGAAGACATTGTGTGAGATGTACAGTGGGGGAAAAAAAGTATTTAGTCAGCCACCAATTGTGCAAGTTCTCCCACTTAAAAAGATGAGAGGCCTGTAATTTTCATCATAGGTACACGTCAACTATGACAGACAAATTGAGATGTTTTTTTCCAGAAGATCACATTGTAGGATTTTTTATGAATTTATTTGCAAATTATGGTGGAAAATAAGTATTTGGTCACCTACAAACAAGCAAGATTTCTGGCTCTCACAGACCTGTGACTTCTTATTTAAGAGGCTCCTCTGTCCTCCACTCGTTACCTATATTAATGGCACCTGTTTGAACTTGTTATCAGTATAAAAGACACCTGTCCACAACCTCAAACAGTCACACTCCAAACTCCACTATGGCCAAGACCAAAGAGCTGTCAAAGGACACCAGAAACAAAATTGTAGATCTGCACTAGGCTGGGAAGACTGAATCTGCAATAGGTAAGCAGCTTGGTTTGAAGAAATCAAATGTGGGAGCAATATTAGGAAATGGAAGACATACAAGACCACTGAATCTCCCTCGATCTGGGGCTCCACGCAAGATCTCACCCCGAGGGGTCAAAATGATCACAAGAACGGTGAGCAAAAATCCCAGAACCACACGGGGGGACCTAGTGAATGACCTGCAGAGAGCTGGGACCAAAGTAACAAAGCCTACCATCAGTAACACACTACGCCGCCAGGGACTCAAATCCTGCAGTGCAAGACGTGTCCCCCTGCTTAAGCCAGTACATGTCCAGGCCCGTCTGAAGTTTGCATTTGGATGATCCAGAAGAGGATTGGGAGAATGTCATATGGTCAGATGAAACCAAAATAGAACTTTTTGGTAAAAACTCAACTTGCCGTGTTTGGAGGACAAAGAATGCTGAGTTGCATCCAAAGAACACCATACCTACTGTGAAGCATGGGGGTGGAAACATCATGCTTTGGGGCTGTTTTTCTGCAAAGGGACCAGGACGACTGATCCGTGTAAAGGAAAGAATGAATGGGGCCATGTATCGTGAGATTTTGAGTGAAAACCTCCTTCCATCAGCAAGGGCATTGAAGATTAAATGTGGCTGGGTCTTTCAGCATGACAATGATCCCAAACACACCGCCCGGGCAATTAAGGAGTGGCTTCGTAAGAAGCATTTCAAGGTCCTGGAGTGGCCTAGCCAGTCTCCAGATCTCAACCCCATAGAAAATCTTTGGAGGGAGTTGAAAGTCTGTGTTGCCCAGCGACAGCCCCAAAACATCACTGCTCTAGAGGAGATCTGCATGGAGGAATGGGCCAAAATACCAGCAACAGTGTGTGAAAACCTTGTGAAGACTTACAGAAAACTTTTGACCTGTGTCATTGCCAACAAAGGGTATATAACAAAGTATTGAGAAACTTTTGTTATTGACCAAATACTTATTTTCCACCATAATTTGCAAATAAATTCATTAAAAAATCCTACAATGTGATTTTCTCTCTCATCTTTTTAAGTGGGAGAACTTGCACAATTGGTGGCTGACTAAATACTTTTTTCCCCCACTGTATATGTAGTATGTAATGATTCATACCATGACAAGGACAGAGCGAGAGAACTAGCCCTGAATGAGGGACACAATTAAGTTAAGGTGTTATCAAGGGTTATCATTCTAGTTTGATTTGTTATTTTGATTTAACAGACAGTGTTGTCGTTTTTTGGGGGGGGCCTCAACTCTGGCATTAATGAGCTATCGTATGCAAGCTAACAGAATAACGCATCTAACACCGCATGAAATGCTTACGGGTCGACCCATGCCAGTGCCGGTGCTTATGGGACCATATGAGGGTCTGCCTCTAGAGCAAATGGAAAGGGAATTAGAAGAGTATATCAGGCAACTAACTATCATACATGAAGTTATATACCAACAGGAGAGAAGCAGAGTTCCAGAACCAGAGGCGAATCCACCACGACCAGTGGTCCCGGGGGAGAAGGTCTACGTCAGGGTCTTCAGAAGGAAGTGGAACGAACAGAGACGTGAGGGACCCTACACCTTCATCCAGGCTACACCAACTGCCATAAGGGTTGAGGGGAGCTCGACCTGGTATCATCTAAACCACTGCACCAGAGTACTGCATGGAAACCGACGACCGAGAGATGAGAAAGCTGAGGCTGCCTAGTGACAGAGAAGGTCCCGAGCCAAAGGGACCCAACGCCGGCCCGGAGTAGAGGCCCAGAAGCAGATAGTCATTATCGGAAGAGAGCCCTGCTTGGCCCTCACAACAATGAGGACAACTTGACTGCCCTTATGGCAACCTAGAATGTCTGTATGGGGTCGTTGCAGGAGGAGGATGGGCTTGTCATGACCACAAGGACAAGCAACAGCTGAAGCACACTGGACATGGAGATATTAATCCTGTTCCATATTGCTTTAGTGATGATAAAGAGTCTAAGCATTAATTAAAGAAGGTGAGTAACATTTAAATTGATTTTGGTGTTGGAACTAGGGGTCCCATATAGGACGCCTGGGGAAAACCTGGAATCCTAAAAATATAGAATAGGCCTCTCTCATGTTTTCTCTATGTAGTATATGCATGTAACATAGGGTTTCAATGTATCTTAATCCCCTAAACAGGTTCAGCTTAGATTCAGAAAATGGTTGTTAGGGAGGTGTCCGAAAGGGAGCAAGCATTACTAGGCCTTGTAAAACATAAGGGATGATATTATGAAGAATAATATTATAAAGGATTTAGTATTTCATGTATTGCTTATACAAACCGCAAGATAACTGCCTTAAATAGATATTATGGTTGAGCCAGAGTCAGGACATGGCTCTGGATTGATTATACTGTTATGTATGAGGCAATGCATTAGGAATGTCTTAAATGTATATGGTTGAGAATGGGTTATGGACCTGCCATGTTTAAACCATATTTAAGTATCGATTGATAGGTTTTGGAATAAACAGAGCAGATCCAGGAGATGGCTCTGTTATTTTTTACAATAGTGGAGAAACTGAACTGGGAGGGTTTAAGCCAAAAAGTATGTAAAACGAGCAGGAATGGAAATTGTATATAAACTGAGGGCCGAGTGTCTGGAAGAACTTTGATTTTTAATAAGTATAGTGATCATTTTCCACGACAACAACTGGTCTAGTCTATTTAGTACCGGTTGCGTCCTAGGGTGTGTGTGGCATGCAGTGGCTACCTGTATCTCTCCTCCTGCAGGGCCTGCATGATCATGGTGTAGTCTCTCTGGTAATGGCTTTTCAGGCTGTCAAACGACTCATCCAGCCGACCTTGGCTGTTCCGGAGCTCCTGGACCTCATGGAGCAGCGTGTCCAAGCCCAAGATCTGGCCGTGCTCCAGTGTGTTCAGGCCCTTAGAGCTGGGCGGGCCCCCGGGGGCCCCTGTGATGCTGTTGGCCCCGGCCGAGCCGGAGGTGGCACTGGAGCAGTCGTCCTCGCTGCCGTACTTGGGGCTAGAGGCCCCCCCCAGTGTCCTGGACCCCCCCGTCCCCAGAACGTGACCATCATCCTGGGGCTCGTCCAGGGAGTCCTTCAGGGCAGAGATGTTGTCTGCGCTGCCAAACTTGTTGCGGATGAGGGAGGCGATCTCTCGAGGCTTGGACACCACGGCCCCAGCCGCCGAGTGAGTGGCGTGGGAGAAGCTGGAGAGGCCACCGGTCACCTGTTGGGGGAGATGGGTCAGTTACTAACTGGGGGGGTGGGGGGGTAGTGAAAACAGATTCATGGATAGGGACATAGAGATACCAGACCTGGGTTCAACTTAGGGATGTGACAAATGGAGAATTTTGCTTAACGTTTCCATTTTCTTTTTACAATTTATCAGAAAAATCTCAAAATTCCACATCAATTCACAATGCAGAATAATTTTCCTAATGTATGACTGCTGGGCCGGGCAATGAAGTTATATCTACTGCAGTCATATACCCTTGAAAGCGACTCGGCCACGGCATGTTTGTTTGTCTGTAAGGGTGCATTACTGCTTTTTAAAAATGGCGACACTAAACTTTTTCTGGAGATAGTTTTGAAGCGCCACTGAACAGGCATTTTACTTGTCTGTAAAGGAATGCCACTGAAGCGGTACTAACGTCCATCACTAGGCAACCAGAATTGTCAATCAAATAATCGAACTGCCTGCATGCACACAGACCGGTCTCCTAAAAAAGTACTTTAGGCCTAAAGTTCGTTAAATACCATGACTTACCAAGACATTTAGTAGAAAGAAAACATCATTCGATAGGAATCGACTCCTAAGATTTAGTATTTTTTAAACGGAGGAGACTGTTTAGTTGCCGTACTTCACAAACACTTGCATCTTTCCTAGCGAGCTAGCGTGGAAAGAGAGAGAGGGGGGGCAGAGTATAGGAAGGTCGGCCACCAGGCAGCCAGTCAGAACTGTGCACTAGGCCTATATCGGCAATCAGAAGCTGTTTCACGCAATGTATTTTGCAATTTCTTTGCTTGAAATGTCTCGCAATTTCAATAAACCAGGGCCTATTATCCATAAACAGGCTAGGTAGTATATTCTACACGCAACAGACTGAAGACTGAACACACACCCACGCAATATTAGTAAAGAGAAATAGCAGGCGAGCCAGCTGCACTGTCATTTTAATATTGTGTGGGGATTCTTTTTTTTTGTTAGGGATTTTTCTAAACGTTAAGGATCCCAATTTCATTTAAACTTTTTAACGTTTCACACCCCTAGTTCAAATACTACTTGAAATCTTTCAAATACTTTTAGCGTTTGCTTTAGTCTGCCTGGAGTTGCAGATGGGTGGGGTTTGCGACTATTCTCTAGGTTTTTGCACCAGTCAAGCCCAGCTAAAGTATTTGAAATGATTTCGAATAGTATTTGAACCCAGGTCTGAGACATACATATTCTACAAAACTGTTCTGCTAATTACTCTGCAAAGGACAGGTGGCTAAAACCAGACAAACTATATTTTGATGGTGGTGGTAGTACTCACATTAGCAGTTGCAGTGGCACACTACAGTGGTAGAAATAACACTGGTGAAAAATAAGCGGGATGACCTCTAAACAGCTCATCAGGAAAGTATATATGATTAAAATGTTCATAACGCTAACCTTAGCGCCCACGCCCTTGAGGCCTTGGTGCATGTCCCGGAGCACGTCTTTGGGCTGGCGGGGGATCCCGTTGTGCTCCACCTCTCTCAGTTTGCGGTGGTAGTGCTCCAGCTTCCTCTGCAGCTGCTGGATGGTCTGGGCCGACTTCTGGTTCTTCTTCTCAAACACCTGTTTGATGCGGGCACTCTGCTGCTTGTCCGCGTTGTTGGCCAACTTCAGGTACTCGGCCACATTGTCGTCTCTGGCCGTCTGCTCAATCTTGACCTGCTCGGTGAGCTTGAGGATCTTCTGCTGCAGATGGGCGATGGCCTGTTTTGTGCGCTGGGGGTCGGGGGTGCTGTCGACCGAGTCCAGCCCGTAGCCGTCGGCTCCGTAGGAGAGGGCGTTGGGCGATACGGCCGGGCAGGGGCCATCCAGACAATCCAGCTGACCCAGGAAAGACAGAGAGTAATGAGGAGGAAGAGAAGATAGGAGGATGGGGAGGAGAAAAGGATAGATCAGAGACTGTCGTGTAAGATTGAGAAAGTGCATTAAAAGTAGCCAAATGGAGTGGAAAGAGGCCTATATCAATAGGGGCCATTTTATAAACTATAAGGCAAAGATTATAAAATCAGCCAACACCAACATCTTATAATCATAATGTAGGGTCTCCAATCAAAAACACATATTTTGACCAATGTGTAAAATTATGTTAATTGTGTAGATAATCATCCAAGAAAACCCAGTGGTCCAAACCTCATGTCTCCATCATAATCCATTCAAAAGTTATTTGAGTCTTTACCCTTGTAGGATGGCCAGAATTAGGGTGACTAAATCAATGACCAAGAAATAAATAAATAAATATATATATAAGGAAAATTGCATCGCGTCAGCTAGGCTGGATTCTGTGAAAAAATTAAGGCTATGGGCTAACTGACAAGCTCACTTTCCCATTGAACTTGTCGTCATTCTCAAATCCGCAGGACATAAAACAATAGAGGTAAGATGGATATCGATTTTGAGACATGACATGTACGCTTTTCATACTAATTCGAAATTCCTCTATGGAAGATTTCTCACAAAAACAAACGTATCTCTGCGAAATGTCATCGGATCACTGAGCGTATATCAAGCTTTTTATTTTCAAAGGTCTTTAGATTTAATTACAGTTGTGTAATGCTAATTTTCCGACCCGCAGAAACAACTTTGACGAGAACCACAAAATTGTAAATCATAAAAGTTATGAGGTACCTGCAGCGCTATGTCAGAGCTCTGTGCTTATTATCGGATATATTAAGTTACAAAATCGGACTTTTGGGATATAATGTTAATGATACATTAGAGAAAGACCCCACTGAACGATTCAGAACATGAATAATCATATTTGTCTTGGTAAAATGTATTTTATAGCATAAGGAAGCTTTGGGTTTGCAGTAGATTCTGCCTGTTATAACATAAAGTGACATTCTCACCCACTCTGGGCAGTGGCTGGACACCCTACATAATGTTACCTATCAGACTGATTTACCATAAAGGAGCATGTTCATAATTTGTAAAAACAGCTGAGTCGTACCTTCCATAAATATCTCCAGAGGAATCCATGTCTTTATACTGAGCAGTAATCCATCAGACAGGGGATGCCATACAGTGTGTACACCTTCCCTATGAGGTGGCTTAACTGAAGAAGCTAATGAGGGAGGCTCAACCAGAAAAATGAAATGTTATGTTCTCAAATCAATTTGCTATACAGAGATGTGGTGGCATTCTAGAATGGGGGTGCTGGAGATCAGAACATAAATCATTCATTCTGGGCTGTTCTGGGGAGTTGGGACAGACGTAGGCCACTAACTACAGTGGAGTTGCACTTCCATCCCCCTTCAAACACTGTCAGTTCAGACAGCTTATGTAACAGACAGCCAGTGGGGGATGGACAGGACTTTTGCTTTCTCCAAGAATGACAGACAGACTGAGTCACTCAACCACAGCCCTGTCCAGACGCTAGCCCGATAGCTGCTCATATAATGCAAGTTAATTACAGTTCACACAATAGGGTGTCCACTGTCTGCTGTTGGAACAGATGGCTTAGACTCATCATCCTACTGCCTGATTCATACCATTACTGCTCAAAAGCCTTAGTTGTGTCATCAAGCATTGTGAGGTGACTGCCAGGGATATGCACTGTGCATGACGGGTATACCTCAGACACAATGGGCTGCTAGCTGTACTAGTTGTCTAGGAGTTCAACACTCAATCCTAACAGTGTAAAAGGCTTTGAAAGGATTTTGAAATGTACTGTCCTGCTAAATGTACTGTCCTGCAAAATATTGCAATACAGTGTACTACAGATTTCTATGGATTTGAGCAATTCCAGTGAGGACCATTCTACATCTAAAATGTTGGAGGACAGTGTCAAAGATGTCAGGGGACAATCCGTTCTTTAAACTTTTCAGCTTGTTTTGGCCTGCAAGTCTTCGCTGGCTGACCTGAAGTACACTTGGAGACAGCCACAGCTAAATATAGAAAGGCTTAGAGCACATAGTGACCAACACACACACTGACCTGCCAGTAATGACAGCTACTTTCACTCCTTCATCCAAGAACATCCAGAGGAAGGCAAGCCAGTTAGCCCAATATTACCAATTTCATTTCACATCACATCATCATGAATTCTGACCTTCAAATACTGTGCTTCCATTTAGATATGCGTTTCTCTAGTAGTAGCTTTTTTTTGTTTTGTTTTTAAATATAGGTGAAAAGCTTGCAGTGGCCTGTCTGCACCAGTGGGTAGGTTTTACAGGGGACCAACCCCTGTAGGGCCCTAGTTTCAACTCACCCGATCAGGCTCCTCAGTGGAGTGGTACCCGGAGGTAAGCAGCATGTCGGCCAGGGCGGGGCTGGTGGGCGTGTCCGTGGTGGAGGAGGAGCGCGGGCGGCCAGCCTGCAGCAGCATAACTTCCTGGGTACTCCTCCGGTGGATCTGGGGGCTGCCTTTCTGGGGGGGGTCCCCGGTCCCCCCCACCTTGCTGCGGCGGCTCTGCAGACTAGTCCCTCGCTTCATTATGGGGGGCGCGCCACGGATCTGCTGCAGAACGCGGCTCAGAGCTGCAGGGGGAGCGGAGGAAGTAGTGTGGGGGTCAGAGTCCGGACCGGGTACCGAGTGGGCGTCCCCAACCTCTGGCCCCCCACCGTCAGGGGGCTCAGGGGCGGGGCCACCCGAGGAGGAGGCGGCGGCGTCGTGCGGGGAGACGGACGAGCGGCGGCGTTGCGGCTGGAAGAGCTGCTTCAGGCCGTGGCCAAGCGCGCCCATGTTCTCCAGTGCATTGTGGGTGATTTTGGACAGGCCGTGCTCGGACTCCGACGCCCTCCGGGCCACCTCCTGCTCCACCCGACCTCCCGCATCCGGCTCCTCAGGATTCTGCTCACTACTAGCCTGATCCATCAGGGGGCGCCAGGCTGACGCTCAGCCACAGGGTCAACTCTGGGGGTGCGGGGGTCTAGCTACGCCACGACACCACACCCCCTTTGAGAGGCAGCTTCAAAGTCGGGAAGCAGGGGGTATGGCGCTCGCTCACTTGGGCCCTGTGCGCATGCATGCATCTGCGAATTGGCTCAAAGTCATGCTCGTCTAACAAGAAGGAAAATAAAATGGATTATGACATGCAGCAGTGAGTGGATGGGACAAAAGAAAGCACCAGAATTAAAACAATGATTACAAAAAGCGGCAGTCAGAGGTTGAACTCGTGTCGGCTTTGAGACATTTATTAGTTGACTCGATTTATATAATAATTTTTATGTTCAAATATTCTTTATATTTTTTTATTAGAATATTACACTGAACAAAAATATAAATGCAACATGTAAAGTGTTGGTCCCATGTTTCATGAGCTGAAATAAAAGCACCCAGAAATGTTCCATACGCACAAAAACCTTATTTCTCTCTAATTATGTGCACAAATTTGTTTGCATCCCTGTTAGTGAGAATTTCTCCTTTGCCAAGACAATCCATCCACCTGACTGGTGTGGCATATCAAGAAGCTGATTAAACAGCATGATCATTACACAGGTGCACCTTGTGCTGGGGACAATAAAAGCCCACTACAATTTGCAGTTTTGTCACAACACAATGCCACAGATGTCTCAAGTTGAGGGAGTATGCAATTGGCATGCTGACTGCAGGAATGTCCAGCAGAGCTGTTGCCAGATAATTTAATGTTAATTTCTCTACTATAATTTGGCAGTAGGTCCAACCAGCTTCACAACCACAGACCACGTGTACGGCCTCGTGTGGGCGAGCGGTTTGCTGATGTCAACGTTGTGAACAGACTGCCCAATGGTGGCGGTGGGGTTATGGTATGGGCAGGTATAAGCTATGGACAACGAACACATCTGCATTTTATCAATGGCAATTTGAATGCACAAAGACACCATGACGAGATCGTGAGGGCCATTATTTTTAAGGTGACCATTAGATGCACATCTTTATTCCCAGTCATGTGAAATCCATAGATTAGGGCCTAATGAATTTATTTAAATTGACTGATTTCCTTATATGAACTGTAACTCTAAAATCTTTGAAATTGTTGCGTTTATATTTTTGTTCAGTATAGTAAATCCATATGAACCACAACGTCTGATGTCCAAACCCACTTACAAAACAACTCTACTAGCCTTCTAAAGAAAGCAGTCTTCTACAACAATGACGGGTGTCGTGCTAAACAAAATATACTTTCCAAAAACATAATTTCTGAAATGCTGGGGCTTTATTGTACAGTTTCCATAGATATTGTGGCACTTCAGTGTATCATATTGCAAATGCACTTTTAGAGGACGAAAGCATGTCACATGTCACAGGACCTGGGTTAACTAGCATAATCTGGCTGTGGTTTCCTTGTCAGGCTGAGGTTAACAAACATTGCCTTAATGAGTTATTTACTTCAAAAGTCGTTGTTTGTAGTCTAATATGAGATACACAGCATTTCAGAAACTATTTATTTACTAAATGGGTGAACGAAACCATATATCCTTTGAGGATTTGGAATGAGTTTAAAGTATAGTAAATAGTATGAAAAGGATGATAAGTAATAATGAAACATTCAAATATAAATGAATAGAATCACATTTTCTGGTGGGGTCTTATCTGCCTGAGGCACCCAGAGTTGCACCATGATATCCCTGTAGAGAGCTTTGACCTCAGAGACCGGATCAAACATGGAGCTGTGAGCGGAGCTGGCTAAAGCTAATCCACATCTGAGAGCTGAGCTCCGGGAAAGCACTTTATATAAAGACTGTCTTTTACTTATCAACAGCATAGAAAGAGGGAGGGAGAGAAAGGGGGGAGAGATCTAGAAGGAAGAGAGCGCGAGGGAAAAGGAGAGAGTAAGAAGAAACAGGTGGCAAGAAAGAGAAGAGAAAAAGAGCTTACCATCTGTCCGGCTTTTCCTCTTCGGACTCACAGCTCAGGGTTGGCTGCGGAGGAAGAGGTCAACATAAGAGGAAAATCACTATCAAATTGGAACCAATGACGAGATACAAATAAATGACGCTGGCATGGCGGCACACAGACTCGTCTCAAATCAGCCATGTACAAACTGCACAGAATCAAAGAGACATGTACACACACACACTTTGAGGGGCATCAGTGACTTCTAAAATGTATTAATGGGAAATCCTCATCTTAACAGCAAATATCTTCACTGCCCAGTGTACACTCAAAATATGAGACTGACATGAAGGTGTGTGGAACACCTCACAGTGATGACTCCATCCAGATTACTCAGGAGAGCTAAGAGCAGAGCAGTAGATGTCTGATACATCATGAGTGTTACAGTAAATAACGGAAGTAATGAGGGACACAAAGCTTGAGAGACACTGACTAGCAGAGGCTGTCAATAACCTAATGGAGCTCCTTTCATGTAGTGAGCAAAGAACCTGCTTTTGAGTCAATGCCTGCATCCCAAATGGAACCCTATCCTCTACATAGTACACTACTTCTGACCAGAGCCCGTCAAAAGTAGTGCACCAGATAAGGGACAGGGTGTCGTTTGGGACAGAGTCAGTGCCTGTCAGTGGAACCCACCAATCACAGCATTTGCCCAATCAGCACACAACTAAGGAAGAGGAAAAGGGAAAGAATTCAGTCACCACCAGTTTACTGGCACCAGCAGGACACGATGCCTCCCACACAACTCCCTACCCACTTGCAAATTATGATACATCACCAGAATTTCCCTCACATTAGCAGATTGCGCTATGCAGGCAGTTTCTCTCTGTATTCTGCAACACCCAAATACAGCATAGAGAAAACACTACTAATGATGGAGTGAAAGTATCCCAAATGGATAGGATTGAGAGATTGCTTCATTTGAGTAAGTCCCTTCCTCATAGCTATAACACTAAGCCTGTAACATTAACCCAACACTGAGGTAACACTATGGCTAATCTCGCCAAGAAGCGCTGCACACTCGGTGTAACTAACACTTGACCTCACCAAATAGGCTAAAGTAGGCATCACCAACAGTCATATCTGCATACTCCTCATCTATCAGTGGAAACCCCCTAATGTGCTTACCCTTTCCCCTCCTCATTTCACCGCATGTTTAACTTATTGCAAGCCAGACTGAAAGGTCCTGCTATATATAGGTCTATCGGCAGGCCCAAAATCACTGAGGGGACACAGTGGCTAACAGGTGAGCAGGTAGGCTACACACACACAGTGACATGCATGTTCCACAGAGTGGTAAGGGAATCTAATAGTGTTGTGAATGCATTATTAAGCAGACAAACAGAGGAGTGACTCCAAGACTCAGCACAGCTATTGTGTGTCACTGTAAACAAGCAGGCACCTCAAACCATCTTATGGATAAAACACCCCCTGCCACAATCAGATAGGCCCATAGGCTAATGGAAGTATGGAACACAAGACCTAATGCTGTAATTTCAGACTACCTACTGCCACAGACGTAGTCCAAAATGCACATCCACTGCTGCAGTTTCAAACATTATGAGTACATAGACAAGCATACTAACAGACATTCACACAGTGAAACACACCATGACACTATTACACAACCAGCCTCTCTTCCTCCTTTAGGGCGCTACATTTTCTCTGTCTGAAGCGGCTCAGCCAACACTTACCTATCACTGGGAAGATCTCAATTGCATACACCTTGCATCCACTCTCTTTGTCTCCTTCTCAAAACCCATTGGATGAGAAAGCCAGAGGTCCCTTCCCTCTGACCTTCTCCTCCAATGGGTTTTGAGAAGGAGACGAGACGAGGAGAGAGGACGCGAGGAGTATGCAATTGAGATCTTCCCTCTCTTTCCCTCGGCCGCCTCAAGTATGCAGCCTTCCAAGGTCACACCAGCATGTGTGTAACGTGTGTGTTTGTGTGTGTCTCTCACTACAGTCTATACTGCCTGTGCCTACATAGATAAGATGCTGCATGCAAATACCACATTGGCAACCATATCACCATATCTGTCCATTCACTATAACAGTCTACTTTCACATGGCATCTACAGCAGGGCCCTTTGTCCAGGAAGTAAGTCACTCTGGATAAGAGCGTCTGCTAAATGACTTAAATGTAAATGTAAGATCACAATGTCTTAATGTGCTGTGTCAGCCTGCTGATCATCCATCTTTTCATCTATTTTTACCACTGTTCATCTACCAAAAGCTATTCTTCATTCTGATGAAAGCCAACATGGCTGTAACATTAATGCCACAAATATTTCAGGCCCCATTTTTAAAGCTCAAGAGCAGCCTTCTTTTTTATAAAAATAGCTTTAGGAAAGGTGCGATTGGCAATTAGTCTAAGATCACTTTAGTTTGCTAGATACTTTAGTTTGGCTTTACTAGGAAACATACCTTGAGTGCCGGTCATCAGCAGGCCTATTAGGATTTCTCTGTATAGGAAAAGGCTAAGTATTCCATGGAAATTTCCAAAACCCACTTCCTTTGAACACTCTTTCCAAGTAAAAGAACTGGGATATCCTTTTCTCTTCAGTCAACAGTTTCCATTGATGTTTAGGAATATCACATGCTGAAAAGGAAAGAGTGGAGAAATATTTCAGGGCAGGTTTTCAAACATCTTTACCATTAACCCAATGACTCCCACCGTATCGCTAGCACGTTTTGGACTTCTAACCCCTTTTAAACATTCTGGTTGAGCTTCTGGGTTGTACCATTGAGTGTGACTATTTCTTCTGCATACGTAGATACCAACCATTAGTCTGTGTGCTTAACGGGGGCTGAGCTAGAGTGGTGTTTGTGAGACAAGGGCAGATCCCTCTGTAGAGTCCAAAGAGTTTGAGCTACACTACAAACTATTAAACATGTTTTGCTCTATGACACAAGCGTCGTTAGAAGGTAAGGGGTTCTTCTACATAGAAAATCATTGGAAATCCCAGGACATAGTGTCTATAATACTGTAATAAGCTCACAGTTTGTCACAAACTCCACACAGTTGTCAATGACTAGTTGGACATCCATTTCCCCGTTTTATTTTATTATTATTCACCGTTTATTTAACCAGGTAAACCAGTTGAGAAAAGGTTCAATTTACAATGTGGACCTGGCCAAGACAAGCAAAGTAGTGCAACAAAAAACAACACAGAGTTCATATGGGGTAAAAAACATAAAGTCAGAGATAAAACAGAAAATATATAACAGTGTGGACAACTGTAGCAAGTTATGGAGGTAGGCAATAAATCGGCTATAGTGCAGAATAATTACAATAGTATTAACACTGGAATGCTAGATGTGCAAGAGATTATGTGCAAATAGAGATAATGGGGTGCAAAAGAGCAAATTAAATAACAATATAGGGATGAGGTAGTTGGGTGGGCTAATTTCAGATGGGCTGTGTACAGGTGCAGTGATCGGTAAGGTGCTCTGACAACTGATGCTTAAAGTTATTGAGGGAGATAAGAGTCTCCAGCTTCAGAGATTTTTGCAATTCGTTCCAGTCATTGGCAGCAGAGAACTGGAAGGAATGGCGGCCAAAGGAGGTGTTGGCTTTGGGAATGACCAGTGAGATATACCTGCTGGAGCGCAGACTACGGGTGGGTGCTGCTATGGTGACCAATGAGCTAAGATAAGGCGGGGATTTGCCTAGCAGTGATTTATAGATGGCCTGGAGCCAGTGGGTTTGACGACGAACATGTAGTGAGGACCAGCCAACAAGAGCGTACAGGTCACAGTGGTGGGTAGTGTATGGGGCTTTGGAGACAAAACGGATGGCACTGTGATAGACTACATCCAATTTGCTGAGTAGAGTGTTGGAGGCTATTTTATAAATGACATCGCCGAAGTCAAGGATCGGTAGGATAGTCAGTTTTACGAGGGCATGTTTGGCAGCATGAGTGAAGGAGGCTTTGTTGCGAAATAGGAAGCCGATCCTAGATTTAACTTTGGATTGGAGATTCTTTATGTGAGTCTGGAAGTTGAGTTTACAGTCTAACCAGACACCTAGGTATTTGTAGTTGTCCACATACTCTAGGTCAGACCCGTCGAGAGTGGTGATTCTAGTCGGGTGGGCGGGTGCTAGCAGCGTTCGATTGAAAAGCATGCATTTAGTTTTACTAGTGTTTAAGAGCAGTTGAAGGCTACTGAAGGATTGTTGTATGGCATTGAAGCTCGTTTGGAGGTTTGTTAACACAGTGTCCAATGAAGGGCCAGATGTATACAAAATGGTGTCGTCTGCGTAGAGGTGGATCTGAGAGTCACCAGCAGCAAGAGCGACATCATTGATATACACGGAGAAAAGTGTCGGCCCAAGAATTGAACCCTGTGGCACCCCCATAGAGACTGCCATAGGTCCAGACAACAGGCCCTCCGATTTGACACACTGAACTCTATCTGAGAAGTAGTTGGTGAACCAGGCGAGGCAGTCATTTGAGAAACCAAGGCTATTTAGTCTGCCAATAAGAATGCGGTGGTTGACAGAGTCGAAAGCCTTGGCCAGGTCGATGAAGACGGCTGCACAGTACTGTCTATTATCAATCGCGGTTATAATATCGTTTAGGACCTTGAGCGTGGCTGAAGTGCACCCGTGACCAGCTCGGAAACCAGATTGCATAGCGGAGAAGGTACGGTGGTATTCGAAATGGTCGATGATCTGTTTATTAACTTGGCTTTCGAATACTTTCGAAAGGCAGGGCAGGATGGATATAGGTCTGTAGCAGTTTGGATCTAGAGTGTCACCCCCTTTTGAAGAGGGGGATGACCGCGGCAGCTTTCCAATCTCTGGGGATCTCAGACGTTATGAAAGAGAGGTTGAACAGACTAGTAATAGCGGTTCGCGACAATTTCGGCGGCTAGTTTTAGGAAGAAAGGGTCCAGATTGTCTAGCCCAGCTGATTTGTAGGGGTCCAGATTTTGCAGCGCTTTCAAAACATCAGCTGTCTGAATTTGTGTGAAGGAGAAGCGGGGGGGGCATGGGCAAGTTGCAGCAGAGGGTGCAGAGTTGGTGGCCGGGTTAGTGGTAGCCAGATGGAAAGCATGGCCAGCTGTAAGCAAAATGCTTGTTGAATTCTCGATTATTGTAGATTTATCGGTGGTGATAGTGTTTCCTAGCCTCAGTGCAGTGGGCAGCTGGGAGGAAGTGCTCTTATTCTCCATGGACTTTACAGTGTCCCAAAACTAGTGTCCCGTGAGCAAACTAATTCTGTACTTAAAGCATTCATCAGGTTTTTGCTTTGGCGGACCTCGTCAATAAAACTCATGAACGCAACTGTTTATGACTAATTGTTTTGAGTTCTACTTGTAGCACTGGTTGTCCTATAAAGAAAATAGTTTTTAAAAACCTTCATTGTGAAGCTAATATAAGGGCTGAACATGCAGACAAATGAAAGTCAGATATATGAAAACGCCGATTTTTGCTGGGATCTCGGGACTGATCGGGTTGAGATCATGGTTCAGCCATTGCCTACAAATTGGCTTTATATATTATCTTAGTGCTAAATATGATCTTAATGCTTTTGAGAAACTCACTGCAGTTCAATTAGCTGCAGTACAATACTGTACTTTCAGACTCGACTCAGAAACACATTTGTGACTCACTCATAAGTGTGGTTGATCAGACACTTAATAATAATAATAATAATAATAATAAGCCATTTAGCAGCCGCTTTTATCCAAAGCGTCTTACAGTCATGTGTGCATGCATTTTTATGTATGGATGGTCCCGGGGATCGAACCCACTACACTGGCGTTACAAGCTCCATGCTCTACCAATTGAGCTACAGAGGACCAGATTTGAATGTTTACATCCAAGATGAGGTCCATCTTGAAGGACTCACTTTCACAGTGCAGATGAGAAACTCGGTCAAATGTCATAAAGTACGTTCTCCAGATTCAATTTGCTGTTGCACTGCATATAATTCTGTCTAGTCCAGTGGGCTGTCATGAAGACTAAGACAAAACAGGTGCACAGACACTTGCCTGGAATAGGCAAACCAATGCCAACATTTTCAAGGGGTGTGATAGGCCTACCTGTCAACACAAAGCACTAGAATAGCTGGGCCTAATATTATCCCTGCTAAATCGTGTGAGATTAGTTCAACTGCTACAATCAGTCGGCTACCTAGATAGCGAACTTTGTCCTCCTCTGAGTAGCCTATGTCTGGGAGGTTGCTATTTCTTAGCTAACTGTGACTGAGATCGATTTTCCAATCAATGAAATAATCGTTGTGTGGGGTTTGTTTTTACAATAGGAGACATTAGCTAGTTGACTGCCGAGCTAAACACAGAGCTGTTAGCTCAATTAATCCGATAAACGTAATCAGACAGATAGCCGTTGATAAATGTGTTTGCTGTAAGAAATGTGGAGGTGTTTACGGGAGGTGTTTACGCCCAAAGCCGGCCAGTGAGTAATTAGCTAGCGATAAGACACCTAGCGAATTACAATCACACTTCAATCTAACGTTAAGCTACTTGCTAAGCAATTGACTACATATGTTAACTACTGATATTATAAAGTGGAGAAGAACAATTACCCCATCCCATTTCAGAATTGAAAATAACAGCCGCGCGACTGTCACCGTGAGTGGCAAAACACAACACTACCACCAGCATTATCAATATGAGAATGAGCCATGTAGCTGGATGGCTAGCTATTAGCATAGGTGTGGATTTGAATCGAGGCTAGCTAGCTAGTTAACTAGCTAATGTTTAATCCACTATTGTGGACAGACCTAATTAAAATGCTAAACCGGCAACAGACAGATAACATGAAAAATGTGTCTGAACGCAAACCATTTTAGTTGTTGCGTGTTGTGTATGGCTAATGATCTCACAGACAGCCTGAAAATATCCACCCACCCGGTGTTTGTAGGATGTAACGACATAGCTAGCTAACGTTAGCTAGCAAGTTTGTGCCAATGGATTTACACCGCAGCACATCCCGACGTTACACCGGCTGAGAATGGCGTTCGTGTTACTCCCTCCCTGACACCATACTGAATAATTAGCTATACAATTAGCTAGGTACTGTAGGTACCTATTTACTTAGCCAAGATTAATAGCAAACGTTAGCTAGTTTAATTTAATGACAATGTAGCTAGGGCGAATCTGCTTACTGGAAATGTGTGATAATGGAGGGGCATGGTTGATCATATCTGAATGCTGACACACCCCAACAAAAACCGTAACGTTAGTCAGCTCATGCCCGGACAGTAACGACACATTAAAGTAAATCGCTTGCACCCAGACAGCCACACTAGCTAGTTACCGGCTATCTAGCTTAACTAATGCTAGCGAGATAGAACAGGTTGGTTGAGAGTAATGTTAGCTAATGGTGGCTAGCTAATTAGCTAGTTTTAGCGGTAGCCAGCTAACTTTAGTTAGCTAGCCAGCTATTACACAGCTAGTTTAGCTAACACCAGGTTGAACACAACTTCATAAACAATACACCTCTTTCGAGAATATACAACTACAAAATTGGAAAATCTACACTCGGCATTGATATTATAGTTAGTCAATCAAACTATATTGTGTATTTACAGATTACAACTTACATGGGCGCTGAGAGGATTGTGTTGATGACCGTTCATTTCTCCCGATGGAACACGCCCACGATGACGTCAAATAGTTTTTTCAACGTAGGTCGTGATGGGGCAACTCGTCTGACCATAGAACGTCTGACAGCGACAGACACTTACTTTTATTTTGATAAGGAGAAGACAAATCGCCTGAGAAGATACTGCAATATTCTAATGTAAAAGGTTAAAAGCTATATATATATATATATATATATATATATATATATATATATATATATATAGCACATTATTTTTTATTATATTTGTATGTATGTACAGGTAGCTGCCAAAATAAAGAGAACACTTGAGAAAATAATAATAATATGCCATTTAGCATACGCTTTTATCCAAAGCGACATACAGTCATGTGTGCATACATTTTTACGTATGGGTGGTCCCGGGGATCGAACCCACTACCCTGGCATTACAAGCGCCATGCTCTACCAATTGAGCTACAGAGGACTATTTTATTCCAAAATGAGGGATAAAAATGATATTAAAAGCAGGTGCTTCCACACAGGTGTGGTTTCTGATTTAATTAAGCAATTAACATCCCATCATGCTTAGAGTTGTGTACAAAAATACCCATTTGCCCATTATTTTGGCTACCATGGCTAGAAGAAAATATCTCAGTGACTTTGAAAGAGGGGTCTCACAGAAGCATACAGGGTTTAAAGTGTGTGTTTTATTTGTCACATGCACAAGCACAATGAAATGCTTAACTTATGAACCCTTCCCAACAATGCAGTGTTCTATATCAAAAAGTATTAAAAAAAAAAACGTTTAAAAAACACGAGAAATAAGAAACATTAAAGTAAACAGGGCGGCAGGTAGCTTAGTGGTTAAGAGCGTTGTGCCAGTAACCGAAAGGTCGCTGGTTCTAATCCCCGAGCCGACTAGGTGAAAAATCTGTCGATGTGCCCTTGAGCAAGGCACTTAACCCTCTGGATAAGAGCGTCTGCTAAATGACTAAAAATAAAAATAAAAAAACTGGAGAGTGTGAGCTATATACAGGGTCAGTACCAAAATTACACTGTGCAGGGATACTGGAGTAATTGAGATGTAGGCAGGGATTAGGAGGAAGTGACTGGTAGCATAATTAATAACACATAGCAGTGTAAACAGGGCTGAAATGTGACTGGTAACAGGAATATATAAATACTATGGTAATATATACAGTGCATTCGGAAAGTATACAGACCCCTTGACTCTTTCCACATTTTGTTACGTTACAGCCTTATTCTAAAATTAATTAAACCGTTTTTTTCCTTCATCAATCTAAACACAATACCCCATAATGACAAAGCAAAAACAGGTTTGTAGAAATTTTAGCAAATGTATTACAAATTAAAAACTTAAATACCGCATTTATATAAGTATTCAGACCCTTTACTCAGTACTTTCTTGAAGCACCTTTGGCAGCAATTACCACCTTGAGTCTTCTTGGGTATGACTCTACAAGCTTGGCACACCTGTATTTGTGGAGTTTCTCCCATTCTTCTCTGCAGATTCTCTCAAGCTCTGTCAGGTTGGATGGGGAACGCCGCTGCACAGCTATTTTCAGGTCTCTCCAGAGATGTTCGATAGGGTTCAAGTCCAGGCTCTGGCTGGGCCACTCAAGGACATTCAGAGACTTGTCCCAAAGCCACTCCTGCGTTGTCTTGGCTGCATGCTTAGGGTTATTGTCCTGTTGGAAGGTGAACCTTCGCCCCAGTCTGAGGTCCTGAGCGCTCTGGAGCAGGTTTATATCAAGGATCTCTCTGTACTTTGCGCCGTTTATCTTTCCCAAGATCCTGAGTAGTCTCCCAGTCCCTGCCGCTGAAAAACATCCCCACAGCATGATGCTGCCACCACCATGCTTCACCGTAGGGATGGTGCCAGGTTTCCTCCAGACGTGATGCTTGGCATTCAGGCCAAAGAGTTCAATCTTGGTTTCATCAGACCAGAGAATCTTGTTTCTCATGGTCTGAGAGTCCTTTAGGTGCCTTTTGGCAAACTCCAAGCGGGCTGTCAAGTGCCTTTTACTGAGGAGTGGCTTCCGTCTGGCCACTCTACCATAAAGGCCTGATTAGTGGAGTGCTGGAGAGATGGTTGTCCTTCTGGAGGGATCTCCCATCTCCACAGAGGAACTCTGGAGCTCTGTCAGAGTGACCATCGGGTTCTTGGTCACCTCCCTGACCAAGGCCCTTCTCCCCCGATTGCTGTTTGGCCGGGCAGCCAGCTCTAGGAAGAGTCTTGGTGGTTCCAAATTTCTTCCATTTAAGAATGACGGAGGCCACTGTGTTCTTGGGGACCTTTAACGCTGCAGGAATTTTTTGGTACCCTTGCCCAGATCTGTGCCTCGACACAATACTGTCTCGTAGCTCTACAGAAAATTCCTTCGACCTCATGGCCTGGTTTTTGATCTGACATGTACTGTCAACTCTGGGAGCTTATATAGACAATTGTCGTGGAAATTACCACCAGGGACACCTGAAGTCAATCTTAAATGAATCATTCTTTATTATCAGCAAGCTGGAGATGTTCCAACAAACTAAATGTACCAAGTAGTACGCGTCTGTCAGAAGCTCCGCCGGGGCAGTCCCGTTAGTTCTCATAAGTTATATTTGTATGATTTAGCTTATTCATTATTCATAATTAATTCATCATTAACGTTTGGTTCATGCATGTGACCGACCAATACCTCACGAGGCTTCTTCTCTCCAAGCTGAGACCTTCAAACTGAGACACCCCTTTCAGTTCTCAAAACAATGTTCTGGGTGTACTGCCAAATTGCTTATACTGATAGTGAGGATTCCTCCCAGGCACAATCAATCAGTCACATGCATGAACCCAGTTAAATTGGTTATTAGAAAAGCACAAACATAACATTTTCCTTCACACAGGTGTGTGTCTTTCCAAATCATGTCCAATCATTTGAATTTACCACAGGTGGACTTCATTCAAGTTGTAGAAACATCTCAAGGATGATCAATGGAAACAGGATGCAACTGAGTTCAATTTCGAGTCTCATAGTAGAGGATTTGAATACTTATGTAAATAAGGTATTTCTAAAAACCTGTTTTCACTTAGTCATTTACGGGGAATTGTGTGTAGATTGATCAGGAAAAAAATAATTGAATCCATTTTAGAATAAGGCTGTAACGTAACAAAATGTGGAAAAAGTCAAGGGGTCTGAATACTTTCCGAATGCACTGTACATGTAAACATGAGTAATAGTGACCAGTAGCAGGATAAATAGATAGATACTAGTTAGCAGCAGCGTAGATGTGAGGGTGTGTGTGTGTGTGTAAGTTTGTGGCGTCAGTAATAAGTGTGTGAGTGAGGGTATATGTGACTGTGTGTATGTGAGTATGTGTGTGTGCGTGTGAGTAAGAGTGACAGTGAATGTGTGTGTGTCTGAGTGGGTAGAGACTTGTGGATGGGCATAGAGTCAGTGTGGATAGTATGTGGGAGAGGGAGAGCAGTAGTTGTTAGCCATTTAACAGTGTTATGGCCAGGAGATAGAAGCTGTTTAGGAGTCTGTTGGTCTGAGCCTTGATGCACTGGTACCGCCTGCTGGACAGGAGCATGGAGAACAGTCCATGTCTTGGGTGGCTGGAGTCTTTGGCAATTTCTCAGGCCTTTCTCAGACACTCCTGGCGTGTACGTCCTGGATGGCTGGGAGCTCACCCCCAGTGATGCACTGGGCCGCCGCACCACCCTCTGTAGGACCTTCTGGTTGAGGGATGGGCATTTGTCATACCAGACAGTAATACAACCAGTCAGGATGCTCTCAATGGTGCAGCTGTAAAAGTTCCTGAGGATCTGAGAGGACCATGTTAAGTTCTCAGTGATGTGGACAACAAGGAACTTGAAGCTCTTGACCCTCTCCACTGCAGACCCGTCGATGTTTCCTATAGTCCATGATCAGCTCCTTGGTCTTGTTGTCGTTGAGGGAGAGGTTGTTGTCCTGGCACCATACTGCCAGGTCTCTGACATCCTCCCTGTAGGCTGTCTCACCGTGTGTGTGTGTGTGTGTCTCAGTCCCCAGATCTCAACCCAAATTAACCCAAAAACACCAAATGATAGAATATGGTGTCGCAACCCTCCAATAGAGTTCCAGACAATTGTAGAATCTATGCCAAGACACTTTGAAGCAGTTCTGGTGGCTCGTGGTGACCCAATGCCCTATTAAGACACTTTATGTTGGAGTTTCCTTTATTTTGGCAGTTACCTGTATATTGGTACTTAGTTGTATAGTTGTATTAGTTGTAGCAATAGTTTTATTAGTTGGTCAATTAGATTCTAGGTCTATTACATTAATTAGACAGTAGTTAGTTGCCATATTATTCTTGTTACTAAGTATTGTTTTGTTTATCAGACACTCTTGAAAATGAGATGATGCATCTCAAGAGAGTACATTTTCTTTCATTAACTTTGGTGCAATTTTTCACAAGTATGTGGTACATTTTCATAACGAAGCACAAAAACCTAAACAGAGCCTCAAAATGGCTCATGTTTAAAAATTCTAAGAACATTATCAATTGACTGAGTACAACAAACAAATTCACAAAGTCACTTGTTCACTGCACCAAACCACTCTTTCAGTTTGGATGCATATTCAATCTAAGTATCTGCTTTTCAAAATGCAATATTCACTTTACTTTTGATATGATTTTCTTGTCATTTGTTAACAATACAATGAACTATCACTTAATCAAACTGCTCAAAACTGTTAACTACTAAACCAAAATTATGTAGTGCCTAGTTAACGTATATAGTTTGATAACTGCTGAACACTGTAAATGTCTATGTCTATATTTGTACCTCATAAATGTATCAATTTGACATCAATTTATGTTAGAAGGTAAAATCAAATCATACACGGAGTGTATAAAACATTAGGAACATGGATGGTGGACCATTCTTGATACACAGGGGAAACTGTTGAGCGTTAAAATCCCAGCAGCGTTGCAGTTCTTGACACACTCATACCGGTGCACCTGGTTCAAAGGCACAACTCTTTTGTCCTACCCATTCGCCCTCTGAATGG